CTGGTTCTGACACTATCACAGTCTGCTGGGCTTTAATCTTTTCTGAAGGAGAGGAAACGCTTATGGCTGAGCATGGAAGACGGGGAGGGATGGAGAGAGGGATGGAGAGAGGGAGGGATGGAGGGTGGGGGGGTTAAAGACGGTGAGGAGGCCGGGGCGGAGAGAGTAAGAGTCAGGGAAAAGAAAAAAAAGACAGTTGAGACAAGATAAGACACAAGGAAAGTCGAGCAGAGAACACGAGACAAGACACAAAATCAAAGAGTCGGAGAAGAGGAGAGCTACATTTTAAAAAGCATTTCTCCTCTCCGACCAACTTTTTATCCCCACGTTGAGAGAAATCCAGGAGAGACATCAGAGAGCAAACAGAGAGAGAGAGAACAGAGTGACAGAGAGGAGAGAGAAGACTGATGTCAACAAACAGCGAATACAGTGACGTATTGATACACTAATATTACCAAAATGTTCCCCACAATGTCACAAATCACGACAGGAGAGAGAGCGCCGTCTCCTCCTGTCCACGTGTCCATGAGAGGTCAAATATAAACTCCACTTTGGATAAAAGAAATGTATAAACTCTTCTCCTCTTTCTATCTGTACCTGTAGCTTCTCCTTCCTGTGGCTCAGCAGGTTCACTGGAGCCGGCAGCTTGGCTCTCCGTCTCCTCCTGCTCCTTCTTCTGGGGCGGGCTGCTGTCCACACTGGGGGGTTTCAGTGGGCTCTCACCTTCCATGCTGCTCCGGGGCGACAGCATCTCCATCTCCTCCCCCCAGTCTGTTACAGGCCGGTGGCTGTCCAGCGGGGAGAAGGGGCTGAGGGGCTTCCCTCCCTCCGGTGACTCCTGAACTGACGGGGCGGGGATGTGGACCTTTGGCCTCGGAGTCCGCTGCTCTTTGGGGCTTCCTGCTGAAGCGGTTCGCGAACGAGGTGCGGGAGATGTGGGGGAGCAGTCTTTGCTCTTGGTTGGTTTCTCTTTCCCCTTGTCTTTCTTCTCATCGCCCCTGGAGTCGTGTTCTGAGGTGCTCCCTTCCTCATCGTCTTCTTCATCGCTGGCATCCTCCCATTCCTCCTCGTCATCCTCTCCGTCTCCGTTCTTCTCCTCCACCTGAGAAAAGATGAAGAAAATCTACACATTCAGGATTTACTCTCTTGTTAGGCTTTAAGGTTTGGTCTCTACCAACTCCTGAAGGAAATATCTGGCTCTGTAGCAGTTAAACGCTCCACTATGCATGGCAGGTAGAGGGCAGTGGGTTTTTAAAGCTCTAAGAGATCAACACTATCAGGGAGGTGAGACTGAACCAAAACCTGAAAGACACTGAAACTGCAGAGTTGGGTGATAATTTTCTGCGGGTTAATCCCTACAAGCGATTTCTTTCACACACTATGAGGCTTTCATTGTTAATACAAAAATAATGATTATAGCTGTTTTAAATCTATCCACCCTTAAGTGATTTTAATTAACTGTTGCTTGACTGCTCTGTTTCTTTGAGTGTCTTTTTCATTGTCGATTTTCAGCGAGTCTGACTCTTTACAGCAAAGTGAACATGAACACGTCCAGTTTTAGTTCCCTGTCAGTTTCACTCCAGCTGCCACCGCCTAATGTACATCACTGATGAGTTTGCTTGCATTATTAATCCAGATGAGGGCCCCTTCTACCTTCTGTGTTGTCGGAGCTTTGGATTTTTCTTCCTCCTTCTTCTTTGGCTTCTCCTCTCTCCTCGTCTTGTCCTCCTTTTCCTTGTCCTCCTCCTCTTTCTCTCCTTCCCACCGGTTGTCATGCATGCTGTTAAAAGGTATCCAGATGTGTCAGAGCTTGAATGCACATCAACGTCAGAAGCAGCAAAGACTAAACTCACAAATTACTCTTCACAAACACACAGCGATGAGTTTACAGAGTAAAGAACATAATATAAATCAACTGGGGAACAAACTAAAACAACGACAGACAGACTGTAATGTTAGCAGCAAGCATTTGTAAGCATTAACCATTATGGAAAACATCCAAATGTTTCTGTGGGTGAAAAACATTACACTTGCCAACACCCAGAATCCCCTAATGGAAATTCACAATAACAGGCCAACAAATGGAAACAGTCATCCTTAAATCAATATTGAAAATAATAAGTTACATTATTAACACCATAAGAGACAGTACTCTTAAAAAAGGTTGTCCGTGATGAGCAAAATAAACGTTAATGCATTCATTAAGTTCTACAGTAGACTCGTTGTCTGTATGAACTCAGATTTACCTGTAGCTCGGTTTCTGTCCTCTGCCCCTCCCTCTGCCCCGGTCTCCTCGAGGTCCCTGGCTCCTGCCCTGGGACAGGAAGTCGCCAAATGTCGGAGTTTTCGGGGGACGCTTGCTGTCGTCTGGAGGAAATATTGATGGTAAAAATAAGGTTTTATTAAATACACTTGATCTTAAAAGGTGAATGAGAGAGAGGGGTGTGACTGACAGGTGAGAGACGAGGTGATGGATGAGTGTTTAAAGTTGCTTCTCAAATGACTGAAATCATTTACCTTACAGTAACAGTTAAAAACAAAATATAAAAATACTATTTGTACACTCAATTAATGCCATACAAACAACGTTCTGTATTAATAAGAGTGGAGTCCTCTAACAACGGTATTGAAGACATTTAAACGAGTATTCAGGAAAATCCATTCCTCCATCTGTTTCCCCCCTTTCTGCTGCTGCAGTCTGAGAGTCGATGTCTTATGTAACATCAAGACTTGTTTGACAACGGCTGTCCTGCAGTGTCAAACTGCTGCAGAGTCCATCTGAACTCTGGGACAAGGTCAAACATCTGTGTTAGTGAGTGGGCGATGAATGACTCCGAGTGGGAGGGAAGGAGAGGAGAACTTAGAGGTTTTAAAAAGAGGGATAAAGAGTGTGTGTGTGTCACATAGAGAAAACACACTTTTTAAAGCTTTTAAATACAGTAAAAACATGTAATGCCTCCAAGTGAAGGGCAGCATAAGAGAGATTGGAGTTAAAGTGGTCTAAGAAGTATTTTTAGACATAAATAATGATTCATAATTAGGAATGACAAGAGCAGACAACAAAAAAGGGACAATAATAAAAAAGTTAGGGTGAAACTCCTCTGAGGTTTTGGAAATGTAACACTCAGGATGTAATTATGAATTATTTCAGCCACAATCAGAGTGTAACAGAGGGAAAGACGACTCGATCTCTCCCCTGAATTCATAATGGAGGAAAATGAAAGAGGATGAAATGAGAGAGAGATGTTAGAAGAAAGAAAATGTGTTCGTATGTGACAGAGAAAGGAAATGACTGAGAGTGGAAGGTGAAAGCAGTCAAAGTGAGACATCGAGCAGCCAATGGAGGGATGAAGGAAACAGAAAGGTCAGAAAGAGGGAAAGAAAAGTAAAAGGAGGTATGAAGGAACGAGTTACAGTTACAGAAAGATGTGTGAGGAAGGGAAGAAGGGAAGGTCACAGAGAGGGAGGGGGAGAAGGATAAGAGCATGAAGGGGGAGAGAGGAGAGGAGGATGTGATAAAAAAAGGTCAGACAGAGAAAGTACAAAAGAAATGAAGGGATCAGTGAGGAGAAAAGAAAGAACTGAGGAGAGGATGATGAAGAGATTGAACAGAGCAGCTCGGGGCTGTGAAGAGGACACTCAAGTCATTCCAGAAATTAGAAATTGGACACACACACACATATATAGAGCCAAAGCGAGTGCAGGCTTTAATGTGGGGCAGGTGTAATGCCGTAATCTGTAATATACTCTCCAGCTATAGTCAGACACAAAGACATACACAAAAAGAAAAGGAAAAAACAGGACTGAACAGCAGTTAGAAATAATTCTAAGCTTTTGTTTGAACCTTCTCACAATATATCACAGCTTGGAAGATTTTGACTTTATAGACTCTGTTATTTTGACTTTCCAGTGGAAACCCACGAAGTGCTCAAGAGAAGGCAACACAAACGCTGAGAACTATTTACAAACACTGTTTGACGTCCCGAGGTTGGTGTGTGCGCAGTCAGAAGTGCTGCCAGCCTCGGGGAAAGATTAGCAAATCCTTACAGATGCTCACCCAATTCCAAAGCAAAACCCTGAAAAAGGAAACTGGACTCGGTTTGAGGTCAAACCTTCACTTTCGTTATCTGTACGGCTGATTTTAATGATACCAATTACTAAAATTTAGATAAGGCCTGCGAGCAAGGCCCAAATCTGGGATGTTTTAGAAAGCGTACACAGCCCTATTAGAAACAGAAAATGGGAATATTAGGCAGAAAATTAATAAATTAATACAAATAAATGAGGATTTACTGTTATTAAAAATATTAGATGCAGCTATGTGTGCTCTATTAATTTGTGTCCAGTTATGTACAAATGTATTGTTGCCTGGTTTAGAAAATAAATCAGTAATAATCGTCTTTAAGATGTTTTCATACTTTGTGTCTGACACTGTACACACACTGTACACATACTGTACAGTGTGTGTGAAGAGTAAACAGAAGTGTAAACTACAAATAAAATTATATTTATTAACTACAATGGGCTGGTTGTTCAGTTTGTGAGTCAGGGGTTGAGTTTGGTTTTGGGTGCAGCTGTTGTGCTTCAGGCAAACACAAATGCAACAAAACAAAAATAAAACACACACACAGTTTGATCTCAGTCCCATGCTGTGGTCTAACCTGAGGCCCTGCCCCGAGGCTCTGTACGAGAGTTACGCCCCCGGGCTGCAGAGAGGACACACACAGACACATTACAGTACGTCCAACACACACACACACACACACACACACACAACGAGATAAATCGTAAACATGTAAACATCATTGATCTTAAACCAAAGCGTATTATCACTAGTGAGATAAAAGGGACACACATGAGAGATGATTTGTGGAGTAAAGGCTGCCAAAAATCTGTCGAATCACTTCTTGTTTTATCAAGTGAAGTCAACCTTATCTTTGGTCACAGTCCACAAAATAGTCTCTCCTGTTGTTGACCGTATAATTAATCTGTAATCCTGCATTTGAACATTTTAAACTGGCTTCGTCACTTTGATGCTGTATTAAAACTACAACTTAAATAACACTTACTCAACTTAAACGTACATATCTTTAAACACAAAATATTGCTTCTGCACTTCATCAACTGTGATAACATTATTTTTATGATTGTGCAGCCGTGGAAAGAAATTAGATAAAAGAAAAAAGGCTTATATTTTGGCTCAGGACAACATTTAATCCCATCTACTTTAAGTTTTCTCCTTTTAGTTCAGACTGACATTTGGTGTTTTATAAAATATCTAGTCGCGCTCCGTAAATGAGCAGCATTAAAGAAGCCACTCGAACAGAGTTTGACTTGTTTTGCTGCTCTGTGTCTGATGTCCTGGGATTACCACACTCCCACACTAAATTATTTTATCAACCGGATGACTGGCTGAAATAACCATGAGCAAAATTAAGCTCCCCTGTCGACGCTGTAAGGAGACGACTTCAGAGTCTCAAGACGTTAAGTCGCTCTCTGGCTGTCGGGGTTAAATGTTGATTTACATACAAGGACGAGACACTGAAATTTAACTTTTGTTCATCTTGGTTTTCATAACAGATTGTCATTTACTCACGTAGTGCGTACTAATATTGTCTTGCATCTTAAATTCAAATCAAAAACTTTATTCATCGAGATTTAGAAGTTTAATGAAAGTAGTAATAATATGAGCTATATATATGATATAGTAGGTAATACTGTTACTTATATAGTATTTATAGGCGTTAAGATATATATAGTAGATATATAATATATATTATATCTATATAAAGTATATATTATATATAATATATAGGCCCCTGGAAGAACAGCGATACCAACACCCATTTCAAAATAAAACAATAAATACTTCAAATATATTAATGTTGGTTTAAACATTTATCAAAAATATATTTTTAAATACAAAATTTGGTGGATTTTTGGCTCCAGGTGAGAATAAGTCGTGGATTTTAAGACATAACTTTGCTCTTGTGATGGACAGCTGTAATTTGACATTTAACAGACTTATAAATCATAAAAATAATAAATGCTGCCTTTATAAAATGTTGATATATATTTTTGGCTGGTTTATAGTGGTCACTGCCGTTTATCTACTTCTTTCACTCCACTGAAAGTCAGCGAGCACCCATAAAGGAAAACTGGGATCCTTTTGAAAGCTCCTTTCAGATCAGCACGACCGCAGCTTAAGACGTTGATTTGGACTCCAGGGAAATACATCATTCATTTACATAACGAGCTTAATCAACTTCTATTTACATAACGACCTTAATTAGCTGAAGAGGGAGATGACGTTGTGTCCTACGTTGTGTGTATGCGATGACATGTTGGAGCGACATCGTGTCAGACGAGCAGAGAAGAGGGATGTAGGTGGATTGAGGGTCTGCTGCTGTTGTGTAACCACAGCAACAGCACACTGGTTGTGTGTGTGTGTGTGTACTTGCCTCTCCTGCTGCCCTGCTCAGGTGTGATGCCCTCTGCAGCCACATAAGGGTCCTCCTTGAACCTGTGAAAAAAGCCTCAGGGTTAAAACACACATCAAATATCAGCGTGCTCCATCTTGTCACGCCACTCTGAGTCCCTGTCAGAGGGAATAAAGATGACGATTATCCTCATGAGGAACTCGGTGGAGACTTGATATAAGGTTTTTTACTGTGTTTGGGTTGAGTATTGGAGCTCAGCGGTTTAGTGTTGGACCACGACTTTGTTTATTCCAACTGGATCCAATTTTAATCTCTGCTAGACTTGAAATAATATCTGAAAACATTGGCCCACTTAGCTACAGTGCACATCATTGCGGGCCCATTTCACTACTTTCTGACAATTAATAGACAAAACAATTTATCAGTAAAGTGAGAAAATACCCGTCACATTAATCGATGATGAAAATAATCGTTAGTTGCAGCCGTTGATCAGAGTACTCAAACATGAGGATGCAAAGGAGTGAGATAACAGTCAATATGTGCACAAACACAAGACTGTAACACACTTCAAACTTGGCAGCGTCACAGAAATCGAGTCAAATCAAGGTAAATAAATAAATAAATAAATAAAAATCACACCCCTCCCCCATCTCACATGTTCTCAGTCTTCTGTGCGTCCCACTCTCGTCTCCACTGGCCTGTGGCATTACGATGGCGTGCTAGTCTCTCCTCGTCAATCTGCTCACGCTCCTTCTTCCAGCGCAGGTACTCTGCTCTCTCCCGGCCGGTCATAGACATCGTCATATCCATGGAGCCTTTCTGACCGGGCCTGCGACTCTACAGGGACAAGGAGGGGTCACAAAGTGGTCAGGGAAATTAAAACCCAAAATAATAACTATTCTTTCTTTCAACTCGCTTTTATTTTTATTTTTAAAAGAATGACTTTACTCACAGTCCACTCTTTCTCCAGCTCTGCTCCGGTCTTCACATTGTCGAAGTCCAGCCCTCCCCAGTTTCGTACATGTCTCCTGCTGCCCTCCTTGCGGTCTATGTCTGGTGCTGGGCCTGAACGTCTCGGGTCGTCCAGGAAGTTACGGAGTGGTTTGTCTCCGTCCGGCTAAGAAGAACAACTCTAAATGTCACAAGTTTCCTCTGCGTTCAAAAGCTTTTGAAGTTTGATGAAGGCTCAGTAAAGTCTAGTTAGTCCCCAGAACACAATTTATATTTTATTTTAAGAAAAACTAAACAAAAGATGGCACAGAAAGACAGCATGATTAAATCTGGGAACAGATAACTGCAAATAACTGATTAACAAACAAACTCGAGAGTCTTGGGAGACAGGAATCTTTGTAGTCTCTGTAGGTTTAGATGGTCTAAAGAGGAATCTAAAGCACAACAACAGATGATATTTAAAAAACAGCGATTCTCTTACCCGCTGTCCTCTCTCATACTCTGCTATTCTCTCCATTTCTTCATTCATCTTCTCAATGTTCTGTCGCCTCTTCTCCTCCCATTCCTGTCCAATAAACACACAACAACACCACAGGGCTGCACAATTAGCAAAAGATCAAAATTCATTATTTTACTAATTTAATGTTGACCAAAAACAGCCACGTGTTACAAACTGTTAAACAGGATTTAACACGTCTGGAAATATTTTCTATTCGTTTGTTCTGAACGCAGCCACAGTCATAATCCACCGCTCAGGTACACAAAACAGGATTTCATTACAGAATGAAACACCAGTGGGGTATTCCATTATTGCTGCTAATAAAATCTCTGCTCAAGTGAAAAAGCCCGGCTTGAATTAATGTCGACTTTCACTTTAAGGCTCAAGTTGTTCCACTACCACAGTTCAGTTCAGTTCAGTCGACGTTAACTCAAACCGGGCTTGAACAGGGACGACACGCTCTCTCCTGATTGGGAAGACGCTGTAACTACAGAAGTTCATCTGCACTGACCTTAGATTTCCTGTCCGTGCCTCCTGGTGTCCCTCCTTCTCCTCCTCCTCCTCCTCCTCTTCCTCCACCATCCCCTCCCCTTCCTTCTCCT